GCTCTGCAGCCTGGGTCAGTGGTGTTGTATGTGTGCCTGTTTGCAGGGGCTGTGGAGGGCTGCAAGTGCTGCCTCCTGAACACTCAAGGCACAGGATGCCCTTGAAATCCCCAAATCCCCAGTTCCCCACAACCTTCCCAGCTGAAAATGTCCTCAGCTGGAAGGGACCCACAAGCATCCAGCTTCTGGCCCTGCCAGATCCAGGGATCCAGCAAGCCCAACTCCTGGCCCTGCCCAGATCCCCCAAAGTGCCACCCTGGGCATCCCTGGCAGTGCTGTCCAAAGGCTCCTGGAGCTCTGGCAGCCTCGGGGCCGTGCCCATTCCCTGGGCAGCCTGGGCAGTGCCAGCACCTCTGGGGGAAGAGCCTTTCCTGATCTCCCACCTAACTGTCCCCTGGCACGGCTGTATCCATGCACAGCCAGAAAATAGCAACTGCCACTTTTATTTCTGGGTGCACTGACCCAACCAATCCTCCCATATTCCAGGCATTCCCCACACTGCTCAATTTTAGCTTTTGCTGCTGTTTTCTGCTCATCCTGAAGGAAGAGGAGGCATGGAAAGGCAGTGTGTGTGTAGGACCCTGTGCTGCAGCCTTGCTGCTTGCAAGGCTGCTGCTGCAGCAGTGGGGAGTTGGAAAGGGAAAGAGCCATATCCTTGCAGAAACCATCCTGACAGCCTGAGCACAGTGAGGATGGTGACAAGTACCTCATATTGTAGGTTCCACCGTGCCCCGCTGTGCAGTCCAGCCCACCAAAGCATTGACAAAACAGCATCTTTTTACTTAGCTTCGTGTTCAGAAATATTATAGTGCTGGGGTTCTTTCTTCTGTAGTGTTTTCCAAAACACAGAAAGACAGGAGACAGGCACCTGGCAGGGTCTGAAACAGGAACTGCAAATAATAGTGTGATGGAAAGCACGGGCCAAGCTCTGCATGGACAACAGCCTGGCTGGCACCAGTGGGAGTGGAGGGAGGGGTGGGTGCTACCTGTGGGACGTGCAGTGCCCAGGCCCTGGCAGCACCAACCAACCCAGAGCACTGTGAAACTTCCCTCCTCCTCTTCCCTACAGCATCCTCAGCTTCTCCAGCCTCTTATGCCAACTGGCAGCACGTTCTGAGGGAGCAGCTTATCTCCCTGGCTGCAGCTCAGTCCCTGCCCTGCTGTGGGTTACACAGGTAGAAACGGAGCAGTTGAGCTGCATTGCCTGCTGGCCAAGAGAAAGAGAAGTTAAGTTTATGGAAGCCAAAAAAAACATACAAAAGTTGACATATCCTCGCACAAAGCACCAGCACAGTGAAGGTGGGGCAGTGCGATCTGGCCCTGGCTCGTTGTGACTGAGACAGCAGAGCACAAAGGGCTGCTCAGCACAATGCTGGGGAATGAAGCTGTGGAAACAGCCTGAGTGAGGCTCAGCTCAAGGTGGGCAGAACTGCCAGGGGTGGCACCCCCACCAAACTCACATTTCTGCCTGACTTTGGAGCTGACCCTCCCCTCCCACTTTCCTCAGCAGAAAGGGATGCCGAGTCATCCCATGGAAGCAATTTGTGACTCTATGGTCTTCACATTCCTGTGCCTGTGAGCAGAACAGGGCAGCGGGGACAGGGATGCGGAGGCAGGGGGAGATGGGCAAGGGATGCCACTCCCTGGTGCTGCTGCCAAACACATGGAATGAGCAAGGGAAAAGAAGAGGTGGGAGAGGCGCTGCTACCCTAGGGTCACATTCCCACTTGGTAAGGCCACCAGAGACTTTCTGTTGGGAGTCACCTGTCTGAGCAGGAGAGAAGCCTTCATGTGCATCAGTATTGCTAATACTGAAGATGAAGAGAACCCACAAAATGCCTTCACTCTCTGCTTGGTGCTCAGAACTCCCTGATCCTCTCCAGAAGGATGCTGCCCAACTCATGCCTACAGGGAGGGAGGCTCCCCATCCGCAGGAGATCCCCGGATGTGTGTGGCGCTCAGAGGCAGCTCTTTGGGAGATGCACTGTCTGTACACCTTCCCCAGCTCTGTGCAAGCCATCAGCATTCAGGAGACACGTGCAGCTGTCCAGCTGCATTTGCACTACCTTAAGGGAGATGGCCAGAATGTCTTCATCCACATTTCCCCCATACTGTTTTCAGGTGTCCTGGGAGCTCAAAGAACCTTGAGGCATCTCTTGCAAGTGACCATTAAGCTGAAAATCCAGCTGGCACAGGATGGTGGCCAAGAAAGCCCTGGCCCATTCAGTGCTGCTGCACTGTCAGACTGAGGAGGTTTATTGACTGCCCCACCGTGACAGAGGTGTGGGACTTGTGCAGGTGTCTGGGTGTCCCCCCTGATTCCCAGCTGTGTCCTTACAGTGGGTTAATCAGGGGCTGCTCTGAAGCCTTTCTGTCACTGTACAGGGTCCTTGGCTCTGCTGCTGCTGCAGGCACCATTTGGCTCCCACGAGTCCTACATGGCTCCCAACAGACTGGTCCAGGCTGCCAGACATATAGAGATGCCAGATCACTGGCATCTGGCACCTCCTGGACGTGCAGGACAGCTGGACACTGGGGCTGTCGGACACCTGAGACTACCAGACCTTTGGGGAAGCTGGATCCTGGGGCTGTCTCCAGCATCTGGAGCTGCTGGATCCCTGGCTTAGGTGGATGCTGGGGCTCTCGGGCTCCTGAAGGCCCCCAGACTGCCAGGACAGACTGACCCTCAGGTCTTTGGGCACCCAGGACTGTGGGACCCCAGGAGCTACTGGAATCACAAGTCAGACAGATCTCAGGGCTGTTGTGCATCTCAAGCTGCCAGATCCCAGATACAGCCAGAGCCTGGAACTGCCAGACCTCCGGGACAGCCAAAACCCGGAGCTCACCCTGCACTGTCAAACCCCTGGAGCTGCTGGATCCCGGGATAGCCAGACCCCGGGGACCATCAGACTGCTGGGGACTCCCGGTGCTCTGAGGCTTCCAGACCGCCGTGACAGCCGATCCCCGGTGCTATCGGTGCGCGGTTCCAGCGGCTCCACACCCCGAGCCCCTGGACTCCCAGGACTCCCGGGAGCTGCTGGACCCCCGGGCTGCGCTGGCAGCCAGCACTCCGCATCCTCCCCTTCCCCCTCGGGGACCCTCCCCGATTTCGGCAGCGTCGCCCACCCGGTGGAGCCTCTCGGGGCCGTCGGGGCGGCGCTGCCCGGGGCCGGGGCGGCGGCGGCAGCGGCCCCCGGAGCCTGGCCCGCCGTCAGGGGAACCAATGCGGAATTTCCTGGCTGGCGGCGGAGCCCCTCCCGCCGCTGCAGAGAGGGGCGCGGGGGAGGCGGCGGCGGAGCGATCGCAGCGCGGCTTCCGCCCGCCGAGCGGCAGCGGAGCCCGGCGGGGCCCGGGGCGGGCGGGGAGCGGCGGCGGCGGCGGAGCCGGGGCGGGGGCGCAGCGCCGGCCCTGGGTGGGTCGTGCCGGGGCCGGCCGGGGCCCGTCGCTCCGCCGCTGATGGCGGCCCGCGGAGAGCGGCCGCCCCGCCGCGCCCGGGCCGGGGCCGCGCTGCTGCCGCTGCTGCTGCTGCCGGTGCTGAGCCGCGGAGCCGCCCAGGAGCTGAGCCCCCGCGGCAGGAACGTCTGCAGGGCCGGCGGGTAGGAGCGGGGCCGGGCAGGTGTGCGGGGCGGGACAGACCCCCGGGCCGTGCCGGGGCCGCGGGCCGGGCCGGGCTCGCCGGGCCATCCCCCATCCCGGGCGGCCGCGGCGCTGGGCGCCTTCCAAGACAAAGTCCGTCCTGTGCGCGGCTGAGGCGGGGGGAGCCGGCGGCGGGGAGAGCCTGAGGAGCTGAGCCCGAGCGGGGCCAGGGACGTGGAGGCTGGTCCCGATCCCCGGCGGGCTCTGGGGAACCGGCCTTGGATGTCTGCGGAGCCAGTCCTGGATGCCCGGGGCCGGTTCTTTTGTAGGGAGCTGGGTTTGGGTGGCTCTGGGGATGGAGTCCTGAAAGGGACGGCGTGCAATCCTCCATCCCTGGGGCAGGATCTGCGCTGGGGAGCCTGGCCGGGGTGTCTCCGGGGATCGGGTTGCCCTGCTGACCCTGGGCTGGTGGGATACAGGATGCTCTGGCTATCATGCTGGGGATTGCGGAGTTGGCAGCCCCAGGACCCTCGTGCTTGGCTTCAGAAAGTGGGTTCTGGCACTGCCTAGCTGTCCTGGAGGTCATATCCTGCCTACCTAGCTGGGTGCAGGGTCTCAGGAGGTGGCACTGACTCCTCCCGGCTCCCAGTGTTCTCTGTGTCCTGCAGGTCCCTTTGCAGAGCATCACCTCGGCCGAGCTTCTCTGCAGCGCTCAGGTTCGGTCTGCCCAGGCTTTTGGGCCAGGCTGGCCCCAGCAAGAGGGGAGAGAGCCCAGAGCCGCTGGATCCCCTGCGCTTGATGGGGGGGCAGGCCATAAATGCACCTTTACATCTCGCCTGTGAGGTTAGACGAGTCCACAAGGAAAACATGTGCTTCGAGCGAGAGGGGCCGCATAATGGCTCCATTCAGCAGGCCCACAGGGCGCTGGTGCCCCCTCCTCAAATTACAGGCGGAGTTTCCTAAGGAGGCATTTCATGAGCCAGAGCGGCCGCAGCTCCCACCGGAGCTGTTCCCTGACAGCAGGGAGCCGTCCCTCCTCGCTGCCCGTCATCTGCACAGCAAAGCTGCCACCTCACCTTGGGGTGGCAGAGGGAACTTGAGCAGTGTCCCCAGCCTGTTCCTTGTGTGCTGCCCCTCGTGCTGGGGCTGAGGTATCCGTCCCCACTGGATGACGGTGGGGGATGTCCACAGGGCTCGGACTCCCTCGCTGTGCCACCCGTGGGTGCCATGGGCTATGCAAGAGGCATTGGCTGTTGAGTGGGTTGGTTGTGTCCATCCTCTGGCAGGACTGGTGCCTCAGGGCAGTCTAGGAGCTGGGGATGGTGGGGCAGGGACAGTCCCTAGGAAGCTCAGATGATGTTTGCATCATTTTCTATCCCTCACCCTTCTGCAAACCCTTCTTCCCTCTCCACCCACTCGCTTGGCACCCACCCCCATCACTGCTGTGTACAATGGACATGGAGGACATCCCATATGTTACCATCCAAACCCACCCCAGTGGCCCCAAGGCCCTGGTGCTGCAGATCCTGGCGCCAGGGGCAGTGGGACTGGAGGTGGCCTTGGGAGGAGGTCCCTATCTCCTCCACCCAAGGCTGCTGGAGCTTGCTGGACCCTTACCTCTGCAAAGCCCATCCAGACATCCTGTGGAGATGCCACCATAGGTTTCAGAGGGTTCAGAAGGATTGTGTGACTTCTTAAGACCTGGCTCCCAAGTAGAAATTCAAGGAATAATTTAGGGCAGAAGAAAAGGGCACATCTGGGGCTCTTTGGGGTTTGTGTTCTAAATTCAACTTGTCCTTAAATTTGAAGTTCTTTTATATTTGGTTTCCCGCTGGTATAACCGAAGGTGCCAGTGGTGACAGCCTGGGCACTGCTTTGACTCTGTCCTGCTCTTATGCTAACACTCTCTTTTCCAATCTCTGGTCTTCAATTTTATTTCTCTGCCTGAAAGGTTTCTATTTATGCCCATGACTCTATTCCTGCCTGGCCTGGGGATATCTGTGTGTCTGTCTGCACCCTGAGGCTGGGGTCAGGGAGCTGCATCTGGCATCAGCTGAGGAGTGCCAGTGCCTGGGACCCAGCTGTCCCAGGAACACTGTGCCAGCTGGGTGGCACCAAGTGATGGGTGACCCAGAGGAAGATTAGCACTGGGGTTATGCTTGGAAGGAGCAGCAAGGCAGGAATGGAGAAGCACTGAGAAAGGGGTCAGTGTCAGTGCTTCTCTGAGCACCAGGAGTATGCTGGGTGTGCACAGGGCTCCTTTGCAGCTCCATCCACTGGGCTGAGCTGGGTGGTCTTACATGGTAGCACATGCAGCAGCTCCCAGCTGAGCCCCAGAGTCTTATTCCTGCTTCCCCGGGTATGAGCTTGCTCCTTATTGTTCAGGGCTGGCTGTGCTGGTCTGACTGAGGAGTCATCCCTCCTGCCTCAGAGGCCTCTCTGTAGCCATTGGCAAAGTGATTTCCAGGAACAGCGTAGGATAGTAATCCACAAGAAAAATAGTCTACCTCTGTGAAAAGCCTGGGATCATTAGCCAAGATCCCAGTGATGCTCAGCACGAGCAGGACGTGGCTGTGGGTCAGCAGCAAGGCTAGCATGGAGGACTTGTCCCTGCAGGTGACAGCTTCAGCTCTGCACACAGCCCACTCCTTTTCCTTCACATCAGCTGAGGTCTCAAGCCCTGGCTCAGAGGCAGCTTTTCATTTCATTTTTTTTTTTTTTTTTTCCCCCACCATTTATAGTGCTTTGAAGGAAAGAAAGTATTTGCAGAGTGGATGTTTGCAGTGCCATGTCCATGTGGGTCAGGAGCGAGCTTTTAAATACATCTCTCAGTTATCCTTTTCCAGTGGTCAGGGGATACATGGAGCAAGCCCTTTGTCAAGGAGCTGAGGCCATGAAACCCCTTTTAGTCCCTGACCCTGATGAGCGTTGGTGACCTGCAAGCAGCACTGACCCTCTGTGGGCTGGCTGTGCTGGGACCAGTCCGTGTACCCCACTGGGAGCAGGTGTTTTCCAGTGTTACATCCTGCCTACCTCTCCTTGCCCCAGGACCAAGTTAATTTGTTGTCAAAGCTGCTGATAAACGAGATGGGTACTGAGCAGGGTGTGGGAGGCCATTAGCAGGCACCGGGAAGGAGAGATTAGCTATCAGGGAATAGATAAGCTCAAATCCTGTGGGGTGGTGGGCTGGCTCCCAGCTGGGCTGGTTGTGGTGCCGCTCACCTCCTCCAGCACATGGCAGTTTTTCCCTCCTGCCACCACATCCCAGTAACTTCCAGCTCCCCACCATCAGCTCATCACAACGGACACTTTTTGGCACATTTCCTGTGATGCCCGTTTTGGTGGCCAGGCTGGGCTGTTGGAGGCAGGTGTCCCAGGTGGAAGAGTTTCCTCTTACAAACCTGGGATGGTTTCATTCTGAAAGCCACCAAATTGAATTTCTAAAGGCCGGACTGGTGAAAGCAACCCCAGATGCAACAGTGAGGCTTTGGCCATGCTGTGGGAGGGCAAGAACACCATGGACCCTTCTCCACCTCTGCCTGAGTATCCCAGCACAGCTGGCAAAGCTTTTGGGGGGGCACAGCCTGAAGCCTCTTGCAAAGAAGGACCTTGTCTCCAGCCTGCCCAGTTCTCAGGGAGGTGATTTGGTGGTCGGCCCCCCTTTGCCATTAACTCCTCGCATGCTCTGCAGGAGCAGAGCCCCCCATTGAGCCCTAGGGTCCCTGTGGGGGGTGTTTGTACCGCTGCCATCGCAGCATCTTGGGGCTGCTTCCACAGGCTGCAGAGATGGAGCTATTTTGGGCTCCGGCTGCAAGGCATTTTTTCCAGGCCTTGAATAATTTTTGTGGTTCTTTTCTGCCTCCTTTCCAACTTCTCACTGTTGGCCACGACAGGGGGACACGGTGCTCCTGGCTGGGCCAGGGGTGCTGCCCTGTGGGCCGGGGACAGCTGTGGCTCCAGGAGCCCACTCTGGCCGCGGCGCCGCTGGCAGCTCCCGCCCCGATGGATGAGGCGGTCTGGCAGCCAGACGTGGTCCTGTGACTGCTCTGGGTTTCAAGCGAATACTTCCTCGCTGTCTCCTCCTCTTCTGCATTTGTTACATATAAAGAGGAAAAGGGGAAAAAAAAAGAAAAAGCCAGATGCATTCCAGGCTGCACCGCCAGACCAGCCCGGGTGAAGTTTTCCTTGACTGCAGCATCCGCCTGGGCTGTCTGTGGCCCTCCAACATAGTTCCCTCGCCTGTGGGACCAGGCGGTGTGGGTCACCCCAGGGATG